GCCATGGCGTTGCCTCGACACGTCACCTCCCAGGTCCCGCTGCCCCGGATGTCCGTCAACGCCTTGGCTGCTGCTACCGAAGGCCCGCCTGACACCCCCTGGGGGAGTGCCCCGGTGTACCCGAGGCGCAGCAGCGCCTCAGACACCTCGCGAAGCTCCTGCCGCTCCGTCTCGGGCGCGTAGCAGGGCCCGAGGTGCAACGCCGCCAGCGACGCGTTCGGTGCGGGCACAACGAGGTCCACGGAGCCCGACAGATCGAGGCCATCGGCCCTGATGACGAACGGCAGCGACGTCGTCAGCACGGGCTCCCGGGGCTGGAACGTGAGCGGGAGGCCCAGCGGGTTATAACCCCCCAGGCCGACGTAATTTGTGCAGGCGGGCTCGCGGTTCGAGAACGCCTTGCGCGCCGAGGCCCGCTCGGTGCCCGCGGCGGGTTCGCCGCACTCCCCGCAACCGAACTCAGGGTCTTGGTCCGTGTCGCGCGTGACCTGCCACGTGCCGTCGAAGCTGGCGCTCGCACCGGAGGCGGTGGACACCACGCGCGCGCCGGCGACGCGGAACGCTCGCATGCGCGTCGCGGGCGCGCCGGCGTACTTGCTGCCTTGTTCCAGCAGAGACACGCACCCGACTTGGGCGTTCGTCACGTACTTGCTGCGCAGCGCCCACGCCTGGAGCGAGCTCACTGGGGGCCGCCCGCTGGCACTCGCAGCGTGCCCAGGCTGGCCCAAGTCGACGTCGTCGTGGTGCTCGAGGGACTCGATGACAAACTGCCGCCCTGCCGCGTCCCCGAAGGCCAGCGCCGCGAGCTCAGGCACGCCAGCGTCGAGAGTCGCGCCCCGCGGGAGTGCCCCGCGCGTCAGGTGCGCGAACAGGCTGTTCGGATCGCCCGACAGCACGGAGCGCAGCGCCGGGGTCACGCCCGGGAAGCCCTGGTCGACCGCGAGCATCGCGGGCACGCGCGTCAGGGCCCCGATGTCCCCCATGGAGACGGTGCCGTTGGCGGCCGTCACGTGCCGCGGGAGCGTGGCGCGCGTGTGGAAGATGCGGCGGTCCGTGAGCCACGTGGCCACCTCGGCCTCGAGGTGCAGCGTCCCGGAGGAGTTCCTGAGGTCGCCGCGCGGGTCCGGCATGTCCGCACCGAAGTCCCACGCCAGATTGCCCCAGTTGCCCACCACGCCCTTGGAGGCCCACCGCCGGTCGCTCAGGCGGAAGCTCCACTCGTCCACGCGCAGCGCGGTCTGTTCGCAGCTGTACCGGTGCTTCTGCGGCGTTCCGTCTCCGCAGAACTTGATGGGCACCCCGTCAAAGGGTGACGGGAGCGTTGAGGACATGGTCGTGCCTGCGGCCACCGACCGTTGCTCGGGGTCTTGAAAGAGCTCCGCACCGACGGGGGTGAACGCTACGGCTTCGACCTGCGCACAGGGAGGGGGTCAAAAGAGCGCGACGAGTCAGGCATCGCATGTGGCAGGTTGCGGGCAGCCGCTGATCGTTTGCGGCGCGCAGCAGGGGCAGATGGCGCACCAGGCGGTTCCAGAAGTCGCTGTGGTTGCCCGTCTTGGGGTAGGACAGCTTGAACTCCACGTCGGAGAGCCGCTGCCCAGCACATGTGATGCGCAGGGCCGTGGCGCACGGCGGCCCGCCCGCTCCGTAGTACTGCGTGTCCGAGCACGACAGCGGACAGTACCGCTTCGGGTTGCGCAGGTCGTCCAGGCGGGGGTCAGCGGTGGGGGTGCCGCAGTCGACGCCCAGCTGGAAGTTGGCAGCCGCGCCGCGGCACCTGGCAGAGATCGGCGCGTCGTACAGCGTGCCGTTGCTCACGCGGCGTTGCATGCCGAAGCCGACGACCTCGCACACGGCTCCGGGGCTGCCGTACGTGTCGACCGACCCGCCGTCCTGCCACCCGGCGCCCTGAGAGCACGGCCACAAGACTCCCCCGGGGGGCGTTCTCCACGCGAAGAACTCGTGGCTCCAAAGATCGAGCCTGCACGCAGCCACTCAACGACGTGTCAGGACCATGCACCGTCGGCCCTGCCCCGGGAGCAGCGCAGCGGTGGCAGAAGGCAGCCGCGCACGCTCTCTGCGCCGCGCCGGCGGTTCCATTTGCGCTCGCAGGGGCGCAACTGCGACGTCGTCGCTGGCCGCGCCACTCGGCCACGCGCTCACCTGATGTCGTGGATGCAGTAGGCCTCGTTGGTGGGGCACCCATGCGCCCCTCCCGGCGCGACACGCAGGGCCGCGACGCCGCCGTCCAGCCCCGCGGCGCCCGGGAACGTAGCCGCCACGTACATCACGCCCTCGGCCTCGGCGCGCACCGTGACGTCCCGCAGAGCCATTACGGCGTACCCAGGAAACACAGTGTCCAGCCCGACCGCCGCCATCGCGGCGTCCAGCTCCGGAAGGCCTGCGGGCAGCACGGAGCGGCGAGTGAGGCGGTGCGGCGCGCGGGGCGTCGGCGCCCGCGCCGCGGGCCGCGCAACTCCCACACGAGCGGGGGGCGGGTTCGTCGTGGAACACGGGCCAGAACGGTGCTGCGGGACGACCGCTGTGGCTCCGGGCGGCGCGGCTCGCGCCCGTCCGGTCGGCGATGCGAGCGCGGCACTGCCCGCTGTCCATGCCAAGCGGCCTGGCGAACGCTGGAGGAGGGGCGCACCCACGAGGCGCACGAGGTCGCTCCAGGCGATCGGGCCCGGCGCCCGCCAGGTCCGCTGCTGGAGTCTGCTGCCGGAGGCAGCTGCGCCGTATTGCAGCCTCCTCTTGCCCCTGCGACGCGGTCAGCACAGCCATTCCCTCGATGCCCATCCGCGGCGTGGGGGCGCAGGTCGGGCAGGACGTCGCCTTGGCGCGGCGGGACTCACTCGAGGGCTCCTTGACTGGGCCTCTGCGAGCGCAGGAGGGCCGGAGTCGCGCCGGGGGCGCCGCCCGCGTCAACCATGTGGGTCAAGAAGCCGCCTGGGACGTTCAGGTCGATTTCTGCGCGAACGGCCGGTGCCGAGCGCGGCACGTGGGGCCCCGCTGCGAGTCCAGATCGTCCCTCGACGACAACCTTCCTCGCGGCGTAATTCCACTGCAGGGTGGCGTCGCTCAGCCTGTGAGGGGCGCCCGGAAAGAGTGCATCCGGCGGGAGCTTCACGCTGACGCCTCGTGCGGTTACGTTGAGGGCGGCGATCCCCCCGGATCCATCGCACTCGTAGCTCACGTCCCCCGCCGCCGACACGCTGGCGATCTGCGACGCGAGAGAGTTCCGGGGCCGCGAGTGAGGAAGGCGGTTGTGCGTACGTGACGACTGCGGGCGGCCCGCAGAGGAGCCGGGGCGAGAGGTGAGCAGCGCAGCACGCCAGAGGCCAGGCGGGAGACGCACGTCGACGGCGACGCCGCAAGTGGCGACGTGCAGGGCGGCCTCAAGCGGCACATAGTGGACGCCCGCCTCGCAGGTGGTGCCGCTGACGACCGCCGAGACGCCTCCTGCGGGGTCGCGCACGACCACCTGGGCCGCACACGGCGCTGCGAGGGCCAAGGCCACGAAAATCGTGGACACGCAGATCCGCAGCGACCGCAAACTGGCCTGTGCAGCGCGGTTCACGCGCCGCCGCGCGTCTCGCCGCTCCCGCATCGTTCGCGGGCTGCCTACACAGAAAGCACGGTTGTCGCCTATCCCGAGCGGCGCAGTCTAGAAATTCTCGACACTTGTTCGCAAGAGCGTCTCTTTTCTCATGTGCGGCCAGAGCGGCGACGCGCTGGCCGGGGAAACAACTGCGCCCGGGGCGTCAACCTATTCATGAGATTGAGGGTTCGCGCCTGAAGTGGAGGACATGTGCTGGAGGGCCACGCGATTCGCGGCGTGTGGGCTCCCCCCCCCTGACAGGTAGAAAACGCCCCCTGACCACCCAGGTGCGTCTGTCCCGCGGCCCAGGTCCCCACGCGGCCTGGGGCTCGGCCGCGCTGGCTTGCAGGGTGCGTGGTCATCATCACGATCTGTCTTCGTTGTCGACACACGCCGCTCGTGCAGTGCTCGCGCGCCGCCGCACCGCGTGGGTGCACATGCAATCAGGCAGGCAGGCAGGCGGCTCGGGCGGCGCGGGCGGACCATTGGTGCGCGGCCTGGACGGAGGGCACGGGGCGACGGACCCCCTGAGGCGTGCCGGGACCGCGAGTGCAGTGTTCGGCAGCACGGCGTGCACACAGCGTGGCAGCTGGGTCGACGGGTGCGGCGGCGCACGGGAGGTGAAGCGTCAGAGCGTGTGCATATGCACGTCGGAGTGCCGGTCGGCGCAGCTGCAGGGCTGTTTCTGCGTGCCGAACGTGCAGGGGATGCTCTGAGAGTAGCAGGCTAGCCGAGTGCTGGCTGACGCGGGCGGCGCGGCAGAGCTGCAGGGACACGCGAGAGAGAAGCGGCGGGTCTGGGGCGGTCGGGGCGCTGGCAGTGCGTTGCGACCGGCGCCCTGGCAGCTCGCTTGCGGCGATCTGTATCGCGCAGTGCCCACACGGGCGTGTGGGCTTGCGCCCGGCCGGCAGCCGCATGCGGGCGACAGCAAGAGAATAGTTCGACCATGGGTCGATCGGAGATCGGGGCATTGTGCACGTGCGGCGTGAGCATGATCGCGATGTCGGCCTCTGTATGGTTTGATGTCCGAGGTCGCCTCCTGGCGCTAGTTGACGAGCGTTACGCGGCGAGCTGGTCCTGCCGCACCATGCACGCGAGCGGTATAGGATGGTGCGATCCGCGAGATCAACGCACTGGACCTTGGGTATAAGCGCATGACGTCAGTCTGCCGGCACCCGCAGAGAGGCTCGGGGCGTCGGCGCCGGTCCCTGCGCTGATGGCGCGGCCAGCAATCGACCCGCGGCATGCTCGAGGTCTCATGGAGCGTCTTGCGAGCGTGCGTTGAGCGCCACACGCAAGGGTTGCGGCCGCAGTGCAACACACAGCAGCCCCCGCAGGCCCTGGGCTGCCAGAGCGACGCGCGAGACGTACGACAGGATATTGCGGAAGCGTTGGCGAGATGCCGTGGTTCTACTGCGACGATTGCGGGGACACCATCAAGAAGCCGAAGATCCAGAGCCACACGTTCCAGTGTGCGGCGTCCAGGTTTACGTGCATCGACTGCAGGTCTCTCCCTGCTCCGACGACCCGCGACAGCACCGCCGCACGATCAGGCAGCATGTTGACGGTAGACGAGCGCTCGTTTCGTGCACGCATTCGCGGAAACGCAGCCGTTGTGGGCCTTGGCCGCCGACCTCCCCCCTACGCAAGCCGAAGCCTCCCGAGGGCTGAGCCGCGCTGCACCGTTGACCTACCTGCAGTCTCACCTTCGACCAAGAGACCGTCAAGGGTCACACGTCGTGCGTAACGGAGCACGAGAAGTACGCGGAGGGCGCCACCAAGCCCGGCGGCTACGCAGCGTCGGGGTTCCGGGACGATGCGGGGGGCAAGAAGGCGAAGGGCCCCGGGGGCGAGAACGGCGAGGTCGTCGGGGCGGAGTACCTGAGCCAGCGTCCGCCGTGGCGGTGTTCCCTGTGCAACGTCACGTGCACGTCGCGCGACACGCTCCAGTCGCACGGGCAGGGCACGAAGCACTGTCGCAAGGCGCGCGCGGCAGCCAAGGCCAAGGGCGGCGAGCAGGCAGCAGGCGACGGCGCGGCCAGGGCTGACGGCGGGCAAGGCGGCGGCGCGAATGGCCGGCAGGGCACAGAGGATGGGGCCGGTGGTGGGTCGGCGCGCGAGGGGGGGGGTGTTGAGGGGGCGCGAGCCGACGTGACGGAGCACAAGAAGGCGAAGAAGGAAAAGCAGGAGAAGAAGGAGAAGAAGGAGAAGAAGGAGAAGAAGGAGAAGAAGGACAAGAAGGACAAGAAAGAGAGGAGAGAGAAGAAGGAGAAACAAGTGGAGGAGGAGGGCAAGGGGGGCGCGGAGAGGGCGAAGAAGAAGCGAGACAGAGGCGCGGACGAGGCCGGCAAGTCGAAAAAGGAAAAGAAGAGGAAGGAGGAGGCGTAGTACCCCCCGAGATGATGTCGAGATCAGTGACACCTGGCGGCCGTGCGTGCTGGCGGTAACCGACACAGAGTAGTAATTGACCACCCGCGCACGAAACGAAATGCGGGTGTGCTATCGTCCTGATCAAGGCGGCAGCGTGCTAGGAGTACTCGCGCGAAATGCCATGTGAGCGTGCCATCATGTGCCAAGGGAAGGCTCTGACCTGCAATCAGTTAGAGTGAGTGGCGGGCGTCGTCAGCAACAACGCGGCGAGCCGCGCGAGTACTGGACGACGCCCGCCAGCCGACGCGCCGAAGTGCTGGTCCACGTCCTAGGCTGCTTGTACCAGGGGGTGTCGGCAGCCGGCTGGGTGACAGCGGTGACTGAGTCTGCGGCATTGTCCGCGTTGTGTGGCGACGCGCCGACGGCTACTCAGCTCTCCTCGTCATCGCCGTCCCCCGCGCGTGGCCTGTCATGCGAAAAGGGATCATACCTCGGTCTAGCGGCCACGGAATACGCGCATGGCCAACATGTCAACATCGGGGGGGTAACAGAGTGCGTCATGTGTGCGGGCATGGCTGGATAGTTCCGAGCCAGCTTCGCAGCGCCGGGATCATGTATGAGGGTGACGAGTTGCAGGGCGCCGGGCACGCCCTGTCAGCAGGTTGGCCAGTATGGTCTGCAAACTGCACGTGGCGACGCACGAGGTCAGCCAGGCCCGCCGGCGTGGCAGGGCCAAAATGCGGGCTCGGGTGCGTCCGGCAGGCGGCGCGGTGGATCGCCAGGACCTGTCGCATGCAGTAACCTCGATGCGTACGCATGTAGCGCATCATGGCCGACATCTTGGCTACGTAGCTGTCGCGGTCAGTCACCTCGCTGGACACGCGGATGTGTTCGGTGCGGACGATGTTGTAAAGGTGTCGTCGCAGCAGCGCACACGAAGCGTGGGGGTACTGTATGAGGTGAATGTTCTCAGGAAACAGACCGCGTTTGTCATAGTGCGAGATCAGGAGGAAGCCCTGATATTCGGGATGCGGACGCACGCGGAGGTCTAGGAAGGAGACACCGTCGAGCGGGTTCGCTGGGGCGTCAAATTCGACCTCAAGACAGGGGGGGTACATGTTATGTATACCAGAGATGAGATCTACGATCGACGACGGGGTTTCGGGGGGCGGGGTGGGGGGGCGGGGGTGGGTGTTGAAGTAGCGGTACAGTGCGTTCGCGAGAGAGAAATTGTCGTCGATGTAGCGCCTGGAATAACGGAAAGACCCCAAGACCTTCAGCCAAGCGACGTCGCCAGTGCTCAACCAGCGGTCGCGAAACTGGCAGAGGAACGCGAGCTCATGCCGGAACATGTAGCAGTTCGCGAGGTGGGGGGAGGCCGAGAGCCCCATGGGCACACCGCAGGTCTGGTGATATACGACGCCCCCGAACACCACGTAGGCGCGTTTGACGAGGATGTGCACGAGACCATGAAGTTGCTCGATGCTCGGTGCCCATTTCCCAACCATGCCGTCCGCGTCCGGCAGCTGCGCCACCCACCACCACGTCTCCCTCGCGTCAAACGCGGGTTGCAAGTCGATCAGGAGGTGTTGCCCTGGATGCAGTGCAAAAACAGCGTCGATGTGTTCGATGACGCAGTCGATGAGGCCGGTCCCGTGGTCCGCGCTCGTCTCGTGCCGGATGTGCGTGTAGAGCCGCTTGATGTCGGCGCCCAGCAGCAGAGGTGGTTGTTGAGCATGTATCGCTGAGCGTGGTGGGTTGTCATGTAGATACGCGGTCACCATGTCACGCATGCCGCGGCTGGAGTCCACCAAGAAGGGCGCGAAGCTGCTGCAGAGGTCCTCCGGGACGCCGTCGAAGATGGAGCTCCAGACCTCCACGAGGGTGGCGTGGCACATGAGCGCGCCGAGGGCCTTCGTCAGCAGCTGCGCTGCGGGGCGCGTGATGTCGCTCGAGCAGTCCGAGATGTACCGCACGTCCACCTTGGCCTTGTGAAGCTTCATCGTCCCGTAGTAGTGCGGTAGACCACCGCACTCGCGTTCGGTGCGTATTCCTGGTAGCTGCAGGTTGTCCAACATAGCCTCCGTCGTGTTAGCGACGTTCACCACGTGCCTGGCATGCGTGATGTTGGCATTTGCCGGCTCGTTGACAGCGAAAGCGTCGTTGCTGTGCAGGTCGTGCAGGAGGACCTCGATGTAGGCGCGCCGACACACGAAAACCAAATTCCCGGCGTTCTTGTCCATGGTCGTGATGGTGAGGCGTGTCGCGTCTCGCCGCAGAGCCACGCGATCGTCGGGCTGAATGTCCGCCAGCGGCGGGGGCCATGGAAGGCGGAACCCGGGTTGAAGAGCGGGTTGGAGTGCCGTTTGCGTAGCAGCAAGTATAGCATCAATGTACGGCATGCACGCTGCCGCGTCCATGTCGGCGGCCTTGCTGACGCGTTTCGTCCACCCGAGCAGCGGCTTCTGGTAGGCTTCAACGATGCTAGCTACGGTCGCGCTCGTGGCTTGGTGCAGCTCCGGGACGTGTCGGTGCTTGGCACCGCCGACGGCGAACAAACGGCGGTACGCGGTGCTCTGGATGCCCGCCGCAGCAGGGTCCAGCGTGCAGAGGTGCCGCACAGGCTCGCCGTCGATCTGCCAGTAGGGGTCCTCGAGCGTGAAGTGGCGTCGTAGGTCCGGTCCTTGGTGTTGCGCACAGTCGCACTGCGTCGCCATGATGTCGTACAGGCGACTGCGTGCAAACTTGGCAACTCCGCTGTGCGTGCACACCGAGCGCGACAGCGGTGGAAACCTGACCGAATAGCGCGGGGCCACCAGAAACAAGCCATCCATACCTTCGCGGATACGCTCAGGTAAGAGGTTGAGAAAGTCATCATTATTGACGAGGGTTTCGAGGGGGGCGAGGCTAGCCAGGGGGGTAGGGAAGTCGTGGATCATGAGGGTACGGCTCCCGAGGTCGATGTCTGCGACGGGAGGGTAGTGGTGGTTGATGGCGGCCTGCAAAACGGTGCGGGCACTGTCCAACATCTGCTGTGTGTAAAAGGGCTCGTCGAGACCCAGGTTAAGCGCATCGGGATGCATGTGCGACACGCAGTGATGGAGGGAGAAGAGGTATTTTCCGATGTTCGCTGCCGTGCAATGGTTCACCGCGCGTCTCCAATGATCGTGCTCTGTGTCGCCGGCGCGGCGGAACAAAACAACGTCAAGAAGGAGGCGAGTCTGGTAGATATACTCGCGTGTACCGAGGCGCGGAGACATGCCTGCGATAGCGGGGGGCAGGGACAACGCTGGTGCCGTAGTTGTGAGGCAGTTGTCAGCGTCGAGGTGGATGGTACGTTGATGCGTGGAGGAGATGGCAAACGTTGGCTGGAAGAGGGTCGCCAGCGCTGGGAGCCCACTCGGGCCGGGCGGGACGGGGAAGTCGTTGTGGGGGATCGCTACGGGGTGGGGGTCAGCGGCGATTTGGAACGCCAGGGGGGATAGAGGCCATGGGGCAGCATCAGAGTGGCCAGCTCCGTAGCCGAAATTCCACATGCCCTTGCAGTAATTGAGGCCGCCGGGGTGTGTGGAGCCCAGACAGCGTATCATGGTCTGCTCCCAGGCCAGGGAGTAGGTGCGGAACTTGTGGAACCAGGCCTTCAAAGCGTCCGGGCTAGTCGCCGGCGGGATGGGCACCTGGCGTGCGAAATTGATGCGAAAGAGGGGCACGATGGTGAAGTCGCGCCACGGGACATGGCCGTTCGGCGACTGCGCCCACACTCGTCGCATAAACTCGTAAAGCGGGGTGTGCACGGCGTTCGGATGGTGCGTGAATGCTGCATCAAAGTGCTCCTGCAGTCGTTCGATCGCTGTGCGGTATGTCTCCCCGACATAGTAAAAGAAGGGGTATTTCCGGCACAAGAGGACATAGACAACCCCGCGCGCCGCAAGCGGGGGGTTTGCCGTGACCGATGGTAGCGCGGCGAGGTCCGAGAGCGCCGGCGGGGGCGGTGGGAAAGGAGCGCTCGGTGGGGGGCACGGGTGCGGGTATGCGGGCGCCCGTTCGTCGCGGGGCACGTAGTCCCAGTAGGGTCGAGGGGCTAGTGCGGAGGCGGGGTGGGAGGGTGTGTGGTGGGGGCTAGGAGGGGGCCAGGCACGGGGAGATGCCTGCGGAGCAATAGCGGCCGCGATGCGGCGTGCGTGCGTGATGCTGGGTCGAAAGTTCGGGTCGTGGTCATTTAGATTTGCGACATGGTGGAACAGGGTGCCATTCGAAAGGTGGCCACGCAGCGTGCGCGCCTCGGCGGTGCCGGCCTGGTCGCTGAGACGCAACGCTGCTTGGAGCCGTTTCCTCCGTCGGCGACCGATTGGAGTGCGCATGGTGAGAGGTTTTGGGGGTGAAAAGAGGGTGGTGTGCGGAACTAGACCGAGGATGCAGTAATCAAGCCACGACGGGAGGGCGACGATGACGGGGAGAGCTCTACCTAAGTTGCGCGTTCCTAGCACGCCGGGCGGTGAGCCACGGACGTGAGACGGCGGAGTCAGTTAGCCGGAGGCAGGCTCGTCTACGCCGACGGTTGAAGGCCGGAGTAGGGAGGTAGCTCTCAGCTGGCACTGCGCCAAAGCCCCATGTTCGAGGCCCGGCGCAGCACAACACGACACACAGAGTAGTAATTGACCACCCGCGCACGAAACGAAATGCGGGTGTGCTATCGTCCTGATCAAGGCGGCAGCGTGCTAGGAGTACTCGCGCGAAATGCCATGTGAGCGTGCCATCATGTGCCAAGGGAAGGCTCTGACCTGCAATCAGTTAGAGTGAGTGGCGGGCGTCGTCAGCAACAACGCGGCGAGCCGCGCGAGTACTGGACGACGCCCGCCAGCCGACGCGCCGAAGTGCTGGTCCACGTCCTAGGCTGCTTGTACCAGGGGGTGTCGGCAGCCGGCTGGGTGACAGCGGTGACTGAGTCTGCGGCATTGTCCGCGTTGTGTGGCGACGCGCCGACGGCTACTCAGCTCTCCTCGTCATCGCCGTCCCCC